AGGGAAACACAGTAAAAGCTTTAGCAAAAATTCTGAATTGTTTTTCATTGCTTTACATTGGCATCCTGCCTTTAAAAGTCAGCAGCGCAGCTCCAGCATAGCTTATACATCTCCTCAAAGCTCCAAGAAGTGGAGGCCACCTGTTTTCTCTTGGATAGCTGCTTCTATAGTGCTGAATTTGAGTGCTCTGTTTTTTTAAATTACTTTAGCAGAAAGAAGACACAACATACAAATAAGATTGTAGACAATAAGACTGGAAGATGAAAGCATACGCATATGAAAAAAAAACCCTGTACATGAACTCCAGCTTCAAGCAATTTATCCCTTTCAAGTGTTGCTCACTATTACCTCAAAGTTGATGACAACTCAAGCCTTAAATACAGAAAAGTTGAGTCTGAGACAGCATGCCTTAACCTGACAGGGCAAAAGTTTGTTTCAGAAGGTGAGGCAGAAACCCCCAACTCAATCTTCTCTCTACCCTTTGCAGATTTTCTCATAAGCAAAGCACAGAGGAGTTCACTGAAAGATGTGCTCTCCTTTTCTGCTCCTCAGTTACACCTTAACACAAATAGACACCGGATAAGTTAAAGATAAGGGGAACGATCACTATTTACTAGGACTCATTTCTTCTCTTTACTCCTTTAGAGCTTTGTCCAGCACTGAAGCACAAGCAGTCCAGCCCTCACCATTTACTGGCCACCGTGCATACGTGATCTTTTCGAGGCAACACATTGATCAATAGTACATTTAGAAGGTGAATGGAAGAGATCACAGTAGAGGAAAGCGGGAGATGTTTTTAGAGAAGGACAATAGGCTCTAAATTGGAAAGAGAAAAGAGAAGGAAGGAGATGATCAGCAAAAAGAGTGAAAATTAGGAAGAGACAGCCTAGCAATGCCACATGATCGCAGATGAGTCATCCTTCCACCAGTTCATCTGGGCACTCCAAGCTGCAGAGGGTGTCTGTAGTGATGGATAACATGTCAGTTGCTGCCTCTTTCTGATGAAAGATTTTGTAGGAATTGCTCAATAAAAATCAGGAAACTTGGTTAACCTTTGCAGTATAAAAGGGATTTATTTTCAAAAACCAACATATTTTACATTAGCATTTAAGATCAAGAAATACTGACTCAAGTGGCAAGTGATACGGCTTTTAGTGTGTAATATATAGCATGTTAGAGCACCAGATAAGAAGCGCATTTATTTTCAGCGGTTAATGGCTCTCCTATTTCTCTTTTATGCTACCTATTCCCTGTAGTAGTTCAGCATGTTTGAATGGTGTGCTCCTCCAGGAGCCTATCCTCAGGGTAGCCAAACAACAGAATGTAAGATGCAGAACACATTTTCCTGGAGCTGAGTTCATAGCTCTAATCACACCGTTAAAACCTGATAAACAGTCACTGAGGTGCTGCTTTATTCACTATGTGCTAGAGAAAAGTATTAGCATCTATTAACCAAAAGAACAAAGAACATAATAAAAACGTTAGCACACATGCAAACTCTTGCTAAAAATATTATATATGTTACTAATCTGGTTCAAAGCATTAAGAGACAGTAGTGCATTTTTTTTCACCTCACAGTAGGATAGATCATGCCCATGCACCAAAAAAATAAGTGTACCTAAATCAGGTTTTCAGTATGTCCTCAACTTTCAACACATCAGTGGTCCTGCTGATGTTATCGAGATTTATATTTATGCACTAATGTCTGAGAAACTTGAAATTTTATTCCACATTAATAGCCTTTCATTGAAGCCTGTAAAAATTTTTCCATCTGTTTCAGTTAAAGCATAATTGGGCACCCAAACTTTACTCTTTTGCTTTTTTTACTGAAATTTAAGTCTGTCCAGTTCTTCCTGGAAGTCTTTAGTATCCGTATTTAGCAAACACAATGCTACTCTCAGTTACATCATTTAGGGAAAATATTTTGTGACTACTGCTTTTAAATGAGTCTGCTGCTGGTCCCTGGGTAAGTGATGTGCAAACCCTTCTTTTAAGAGGTTTTCATGAGCTGCTGTGACACTAACATAACCAACTCATAGTAAAATTTTGTCCCAGATTTGCCAGTCTATAGCAACAAAAAGCTTTGTTATCTTTCTAAATCTTTAAATGTTTAAGAAAATGAGGCAAAAAAAATATCTCTCTATATGCCACAATCTTTATATCATCAAATAGATTTGGCAGGTAGTCATATTCTTTGTTAATAGCCAGATTATGGAACTAAAATATTTATTGTGCTTGGCTTCTCCAGCATCTTTTACTGTAAACACTGGAAGATAAGTTCATCTTGGCTCGTTATGGTTTCTGTCCAAAAAAAATACATGTTTATGAATTATAAATATACAAATCTGCTTAAGGATTTTGTGGGTATGTGTTTATACAGTTGATTATTAATGCTGGGGTAACCAGAATCACTGCATGAAATGTTCTGCATAATACTTTTCCCTTCTGCTTGACATTTTTCCTTATTACTTTATTCTTTAATTGTCCCCATGAGGCCATCTACCCCATCTGCCTGAAGAAACGCACAAATATGCAAGGTTTGAACTCTGCTACTTTATGTCTGTAATTTTATGTGCAGCATGAAGGCCAGGCATGAACAGCAATCTGTACTGCTTTTATATGCCAGCAACTAAAAAGAAGTGCCTACCTGGAAGTAGGAGGTCTGACATAATATCATCAGATAAATGCTACACAATCTCTGAACTAGATGCTATCTTTGTTCTGCATTTAGTACATTTAAACAGATGCTGGTTCCTGACCCCTGGAAAAAAACATAACAAAGAGCTTCCAGGAGAACAAAAATGACAAATATCCACAAGTGAAGCGGGTCAGCCTAGACAGAAAAGCCATGTACAATCAGGTGTCTGAATATGATATATCCTGGCCCATCAGAACACGTAAGGTAGAACCAACAGGGATCATTTCACCAAAGGAATCCAAATGGTGAGACAGATGAATAGATGCACACAAAAAGAAGCAGCAGAATGAGGAAGAATAGACAGTGAGAGAAGAGCAAGGTACAAAGACCAAGGGGCACAGACATCCCTCATCACGATATTTATATATAGACCAACACTGGGTACTGCACACACCTTTTACAGAAGGACTAGAGAAAGGAGTTGCTACAGACTTGTGACTTTGTGCTGTATCCCACATAGGAGACAACAGCAGGAGAGGGACAAAACAATACTCTACTGGTAAGCATGGCCGGGAAATGAGGAAATGGTTTGATCTTTGCATTACTACAGTTCAAATTGAAGCCAATCTTAGCATAGCATACAAACAGTCTCCCTCCAGAAAATGTTGGGCTCACTTCATTATAAAGTTTCATTTGAGGACCTACGTGCTCACCAGTGAAGTGGAAAAAGCCAGCTAGGGCTACCATTGAGGAGCAGAATGGGCAGCCTCATCCTCTCGGGAGATGAGGGGGGGAGAAAAAAGAGGCAGCAGAAAGAGCCAAGAAGCTCAGAGTGACTTTGCTGTTGTCTCCCCGTATCTTGCTTGTGAGCAACGGGCAATCCACTATGAGGCACTTTCCCTTTCTGCAACAGGCAGCTTGGGGGTTCAGGGCAGAACAATGGAGATCTGCTCTGGTCACAGACTTGGTGTAGTTACTCTCCAGATTTGGATGTGGAGCTAAAGCGCCTCTAAAGATGCAGAAGCTGCTGTTGCAAGACCAAGGGAGAACTAAAACAAGATGAAAATAGGATGCATAACACTTAGGTTAATAAACTCGTAGATATATAATTAAATGATCTAATTATTGAATATAGAGAAGCTTGATTAGCTGGTATCTGGAAATTAAGTGCTCCTATGTGCAATGCTATGAGAGCCAATGGAGTACAGATATATTAGATGGGTGTATTTCTTTCTCTTGATCATAAACACAGTACGACATTAAGTATGCACTTGTCAGTGTTTTTGAAATCTTCATATTACTACTGTTCTTATAATTTTCATTTATTATAAGAGAGAGAGTACATATTTCACAGAACCATATGATCAGACTCTAGTGTAGAAGTATCTGCAGGATATGGCCTGTCTCTACTTTAATCTGAAATCTGTGAACAGTGAACAAATCCCATACACTTTCATAGGGATGACACCCATTGAGATTCATCATACTCCTCTCAGACAGAACTTTATTCCAAATCCAGTCTTTTCCAAAAGTAATCTGTAGAAAATGACAGAAATTGGTTAAATATTCTATTTGATGTTCCACAAATCTATTTGATGTTCCAACAAATTCCACGCCATTTTCTCTAGGGACAACAGAGTTTGATGGAAGAGAGTGTTGGATCTCACTTTCTCATTTTAAGTGCACCTTCTGATGTGCATGCAAGGGTGATGTCTCTCTGCAAGGGGGACTGTAGTACAGGACACGTGTTCTGCACCTAATTTCTTCTGTTGCCTGGTGGATGTCCATTAAGCATTTCTGAGACAGTCTGTGATGAACCTTAAGTTAGAGTGCTCATTCACATCTACAGAAATTATGGTTGAAGCTGCCCGTTTGGACTACACGTAGACACAGGCAGCTTATGTTCTTCATCAATAGAGCAAGACAATTTGCCAAGAGCTGCACTTCCCACACAGGTCTCGGTTTTCTCTCTGTCCAACACTGTTCACCTCCTTTTATAACTCCCTTCCCTTTTACTCAGAAGAGAAACTGGAACTTCATCATCATTCAAGGTATAATCAGTTCTGCAGCTGGGAACTAACAGCAAATAAATCACCAGTACTCTGCAGCAAGCACCACAGCAAGAAATGTGCACACTGGGACTCAGTGGAAATACAAATCTTCTCCAATAAGTATTGATTCCTGACAGACTGTCCTAAAAATAAGTGCTCAGAATTGATACTGGTGAACAACCACTGCCACATTCAGGTCATGTGCTTGTGAAACTCACACTATGCCTAGGTGCTGTGCATCTTCTTGCCACCCTTCCCCTCAATTACCAGCCTGGCTCAGATCCCTCCACACAGCCTTTGGTGAGCTCACTCTGCCTGTGCTCCATGTCACCTAACAGCTGTTTGATGTGACACTGTCCTGCTAAGTGTCAGCGGGCAAACCCTGCTGAAAGGTAGGATAGGGCTGCTGAGGATCTGGGCTCCACTAATGTGGGCTCCAGGTTACGCACAACATGACTCCCTCAATTTAATTTCTCTTCTTTCCCCTTCAGAAGATCCAAGCTAAGGATAAAAAGGCAAGAGCAGCTGCTTCCTCTTCTTCAAGAAGCTATTTTGGAAAAAGAAAATCTGAAATGTTACATGTTCCTGGGCACAATATGGAGGAAAGAGACAAGTCTGCAAGGAAGATGGACAATACGCCTCCTGTTTCATGCACTGAAAACATTCACATATTTTCCTCCTTCTGACAGGTAAGCTACAGCAATCTCCATTAATAAGTTATGAGTGAATAAAGAAGGACATACACTTCTCCACAGAAAACTTTATCTAGATATTTTTGTACAGTGCATCTGGGGAGAAGGTGTCCTGGTTTTAGCTGGGACAGAGTTAGCTCTTCTTTTTAGCACCTAGAAGAGCTCCATGTTTTGGTTTTACTCAGAGGCTCGCTCTGAGAAGAATGCTGATAGCAAGCTGATGTTTGTAGTAGGCACTGAGGTCTCAAGGACTTTTCAGCTTGCCATGTTCTTGCCAGTGTGCAGGAGCACAACAGGACAAGGGGGGAGCATAGCCAGGACAAGGGGTCCACGACTCTCCTTACGATTTGTACTTGGACTTAAGATTGAGGGCCAAACTGGCCAATTAGTATTCCATATCATGCAGCGTCATGCCCAGTATAAAAGTGAGGGTCAGCCGGACAGAAGGGCTTTTTGCGCTTTGGCTCTTTCGACGCTTCTGCTCTTTTGCGCTTGCTGCACTTTTGCTCTATTGCCTTTTTTTTTCTCTCTCTCCCAGTACTCCCACTCTCGGAGCACTCTCTCTCTCTGCCCCTCTCTATTTCGGGCCCTCGCATTCGTCTGGGATTGCAGCTTTGGGATGAGACGGGCTTCGCATAAGAGGGGGTGGTGAGCATCTACACTGTGTATTAAATCATCTGTATTAAATTGTTCTTATCTCAACCCATGGGTATCCCATTTATCCTTTAATTCTCTCCCCCAGCCCTGGGGCTGGGGGAGGGTGAGTGAACGACTGGACGGCGGGGGGGGGTGTGCGGTTTGGTTGGCAGAGCGGCCTAACCCACGACAGAAGGGAAGAAAAAGCAAGATTTCCAGTGCTAAAGAACTGAACTACTCTGAAAGCAAACAGCCTAGTCCAATAATGCACACCTAGTAAAGAAGAGATTTCTGAGATATAACATAAATAACTGAAAAACTATTCCAGATTCAATACAGAAAAATTTCTACTAGTCCATGTAAGTCTGAGATATCTGCACATAGACAGTACTGCAGCATGTTCAAATTTCTTCTATCATTATCTTTTCAACTTCTGTAATAATCTTCCACATTGGTAAGTTTAGTGGTTTGTGAACTGCAGTTCTATGCATCAGACATATTATGTGAATGGACCATTACTGATCGAGGAACTATAAATGTCAACTCTAGTACCGTTACAGGTTTTAATGCATACCAATAAATTTGATTCATGTTTTCACTTGTTTTCCTCCAAGTACAACCTGTGCGCTCCCTAAATGATTCTTCTCCCCTCCTCATTGCCATCTATCTAGGATTGTGGTCAGGTATATGTGAAATCGGTTCCCTATTTTGAAAGCATTAATCTGGTACCCTTGCCATCATTTAGTCACACACTTTACATTCTTTAACCTTTATTCTTTTCGAACTCTTTTTCGTATGACACTTGCCTACCAGCATCCCACTGTGACTGACGGATGTGCATTTATAATTTGTTTTTACTTCAGAACATTATAACAACAATGATTGCAAACACATTATGTAGATCTCCAAACTAACGCTGCCTAGAGCAGTTGCTTAGCACAAGAGAGATTTACACATTGCATGTGTTACAAAAACACGTAATAGGCACGTACAAGGACAAACACACAGAGAGACCATGCTTAAATGACCTAATAGAAGTACTTGTCAAAAGTGTATGTTCATGTTTAACATTGGGAAGGAAAGGAAACACTTTGAGGAGAATTGCAGCATACGCCACCATCTTTATGCCAAGGCACACCCATACTTTGGCTTGAATTCGTTTCTCTCATGACAGAGTTTCAATGAAACACTGTTTTTACAAATAATTCATTAATATAGCATTACTATTTTGGTAGTCCTAAGTGAAAACTGTTTTCTTTCTGCATGGGTAGACAAGCATGCTTTTGAGAGAAGAACAGGCCTTTTTTTCCCTGCCTTTTGGATATTTGCAATTCAGCTCTTAAGGTCACCAGCATACACAGTAGGTTCCCAGGCATTTCAGCACTAAGGATTTGCTCTGCAAGAACAGTCATGAAGAATTTATATGTGTGCTAAAACAGATTTTATGCTACGTGTGCTGAAACTTCTCAAATGCTACCTATTAGGACGCTTTTGCCTCCCTCATGCATCTTACAAGCCAGCTGGAGGACTGCAGGAGAGGCATTACCTTCTTGAACATTCTGGTGGAGTCTTCGCTTATCTGCATGAACCGCATGATCACATTGTTCAGGTAGATATCACTCAGTGTTGCATGGTCTTTGCTTTCTCTTCTCACTTGGTTCAGGAGTAAGTACCAGCAATTCACTGGCGACAAGAGGTTCTGGTCTTTCCTAAGGAGAAGATACACACATGTATTATGTATAGAAATGAAAAAGTTACATTATTAACACAAACATCCCCTTGACATTCACAGTCATAACTTGTTAAGAAAAAATGGCTACTTCTGAACAATCAGTCAATCTCTTCCTGGAATAATTCGAGTTAGGCAAAATTCAGATCACTCCTTTAAGACATGTTCTACAAAACCCATGAGGCCTGGATACAAAAATACTGAAAAAGTGTAAGAATTCAGAACACTGCAAGCTACCTGAGAGTATAAAAAAAAAATCTTGCCACAAAGCCTACAGTTGCTTACAGATGAAGTACATGTAAATATTCAAAATCAATAAAGGTCACTGCTGAAAGAGTAACAGTAATTAATTTTTGACGTTAGAAATAAACAAGCACTGCAAGCGCATCCCAAATCCTTCATGAGCAAAATTATAGGTGTAGCTGTTTCACTGCAATGGATTTGTATGGCTGCTATAAAAGCAGAAGGAAATGTCACAAGCATAGGTACTCTGTGATCAGCATTCATAAATTCACAGCTCTCATAAATACACTGCTACTGCCAGTCCCAGATGGTTCAGTTACAAGACAAACAGCAGGACTGGACTGTGTCGGCAGCGGTCCAGTTCTGAATTTTCTTGACAGACTTTTTGCATTGTGGGCCCACTTCAAGTTTTTAATATTGTAAAAAGTGAAATTCCAGATGATTTCTCATTACTTTTACACAAAG